TACGGAAGTGCCCCACCGCGCCGGGGCTGTTTGACAGGTCACCCGCACCGTGACCTCGCCACCCGCCCCCCCCCCCTCCCCGCCCACCTCCCCATCGGGCCCAGCTCGGTAGTGACCTCTCCTTGAATTTGACATGGACTCGACTAAGGCTCAACGCCATCTAGTTACGTCTGGAGATCCTAATAAGATCCACTGTACCTAATTTGGCCGGCGCGGCGGTGTAAAGCGGCCGCCCTCACCTGTACAATATCTGACAAAAGTGAATGAAATAACTCTAGCCCCTGAACATTTGCCATTGGTGGCACCAGCCACTAACCAGTGGAAGAATGTCAAAACTTCCCCTCGTAATTTTATTCAAAATCAATGAAACGTGAATTTCACTAGATAATGGTAACTTTTACTTCCGTTTGAAAAGTGGTAAGGGAAGATGGGGCAACACCTCCCTTTGGGGAACACCGCCCACCCCGATATCAGAAATATAAAAAGGTCTAGGGCGACAGCTGACTGTCTTTTGGCAGCGTGACGACAACAAGAGTGCAGGTATGGGCACTGGGCAGTGCACCGCATTGGTTTAGGTGATTTGCGAGAAATTTCGAATTTTACGTTTCGTGAATACGTTTTATACTCTCTCTAGTCTCTAGCATAATAAGCAGAAGAAAACTTATCTTATTTGACAGACATTAGTCCTGAAGTAGTATTATAATTTGCCATAATTAGGACTCATCCAAGCATTACGTGCTCCTGCTCGAGCGAAATTTTTGTCGTGTTGCCATGTTGAAAGATTTTTTAGAAAAATGCAGACACTTGGGTAACACCGCCCACTTGTGAAATTCGGTATTTAATAGCACATTGTGACAACTTACCCAGGAGTGGTGCATTTCAAATAAAGAAAGAACGTTGTTGCTATGTTTTCTTTTTAGAGGATAATGAAAAATTAGAGAGAATGCAGTTTTGGGACTTTATGTCGACTTCTATGAGGCTTGTCGACTTGTTATATAAATGAGTACTACATTGTCCCAGGAATATAATAAAATGGTTTCCACTGTATTTTATAAATATACCAAAACGCCTCGAAATTTACGATAAGAAGAACAACTTGATAGTCCAGTAATCTGCAAATCTCGTTGCCTGCTGAGCTCGGGCGGTGTTACCCAACGGTCGGTGTTTCCCCGAAAAAAAATGTAGACATTTACTAAATGTGGAATAATGCAATAATGAACGATACTAAAAGAAAACAATTGGCTGATATGTATGTAAAATTGATGCGACAATCCAATGAAACTGAGAGATTGATCATTTGGACAAAAATTACGTGACTAGACCCTAAAAGGTTAAGGGGGTCGGTGTTCCCCGGTCTTCCCCTATAAGATGTGTAGTATTTGGGCTGTAAATGAATTCCGACATTGTGGCGCCTTTCTTGAGGGTGTTCAGCGGCCGCCCAACCAAATGCAACCAGGTGTCAACCAAATGCATCTTCTCAACCCGCGCATGATTGAGGGGGGGGGGGGTGGAGGGGGAGGGAACTGTACAGAACCATCTCTCGTTTTTCTGCAATATCTTCTAAAGCACTGGACGTATCAGCACGAAACTTGCAGTACCTTCGGCTGCAGTAATTAGGCAATTTGTGTCCAAATAAAAAAATTCTTAGCTACCATAGGTCTGCCGGAAATGAGGTCCAAATGACGTCATGTTCGGCCGATTTTGATGCAAAACATGGAACTGCAGCAATCCCTCTCAAGAGCTCAGTTTTTAAGTTAGATCCAGTTTCTTTACTTGAGGAGACTCAAAATACCTACACAGTGCTATCAAACTAGTATTCTCGGATTTTCCAAGGTTTGAAACTTTCTGAAAATAATGCATACAAAATCTCAAAAATATATTTTTGATTTTTCCATCTAGCTTTTTAATTTCTCAAAAAATGGATGATTTGTGATAGATCACATACCGATGATCTACTCCAGGAAGTTTAAGCCCGATATCTTCAAAAATAGCAAAGTTATCCGCCTTGTAGTTAGTATTTCATTATTATCAATTTTTCAAATCAATTTTTCAGTAGGTTTTCGACATCGTACACTAAAATGAATAACATCATCGTGTTTCTGAGCTACAACTGCATCCGATAAACATTTTTCTTTGTTAAAGAAATTCAACTTCAAAATTTGACCTTTCTGACCTGAAAGTGACCTGATCTCAGCTATATTCAGCTGAAAATGGCCTCAAATGACACAAGAGAACATTGTTTGCTAAATACATGGCTGAAATACCCCAGTCATGCGAGGGTTAATATTCACAGCGCAGATGTATCTAGATAAGTGTTCAGCATAGGCGGCGGAACGGGGGGGGGGGGGCACCGGGGCACCGTGCGCCCCCTTGATTTTGCCATTTTAACATTAGCCCTATGGGCGTTGCATGGAAAGAATGGGACCAAAAGTCAGCAGTGCCCCCCCCCCCCCACTTCCTCCTTAATTGAAGGTGTTCCGCCCCTACCGATGTTCAGGCATTGCATATCTACTAAAAGCTTCATCTGCACAGGTATCAATTGATGTTTCCACTGTAAACGGTGACCACTCGTAGTTCTGGGAAATAAATGATGTGCCGTAGTGGTGGGAGTAATAAAACCAACATCTCCTATTGTCAATTCACTGAAACGATGCGCTTGAGTGATCGGCAGAGCTTTTCATCAAACGACGGTATTGTATTGCCCAACTCTGAGGCACCGTGGGTGCTGCACTTCGAGTAAAAGCTGCTGACAGTGTGGTTGGCGAGCTGTCTTTTGTCTCTGTGAGCTCAGAGACGGGAGACGGTGCGGGGAGTGGGCGCGGGACTACATACGTCAAGTGGCCGTGTCGATATCTGCCTACCGATCGTCTCGAGACCGCTCGGCTCCCGACCGGGTCCGGCTCGGTGGCGAACAGACCACTTTCCCCGAAAACACGCATAAATCTTTTTCATGTCAGGGTAGGCACGGTTTGGTACGGCGCGCTGACATTATTTCCGCAGGCCGTAATACAAATGTTTTTATTCGCTGAACTTCGGACAATCCATACAAAATAAATCTCACAACGATTCAATCCCACGCAAGAAATTCAGTGATATAAGCATGTTATGCAACTGGCTAGTGCTATGCATCTGCCTAGGTGCGGCACGCCCAGTGTTTCAGGCCGAGTTCTTTTAGCACAAGGATGATTCCCATCGCCTCCTCTAAACGTACATACACAAATGCTGCGCGTGATTTAGTCGCCTACAGGTGAACAGGTGTAGTACAGGTGAACTACAGCGTGATTTAGTCGCCTACAGGTCGCCTCCACTTACATGTGGAGTACACCTGCCCTCGCTTACTCTTGCTTCACTCCATTTCCCCAGCATATCCAAACGAACTGTGCTGTACGGCAATCTCATCATATAAGAGCTCGCTCCTCTATGTGCACTTGCACAGAGGGATACATTTCGCTCTGGTACCACGCAGGTCTATGCAGTGTTTTATGAGCTCTGTAATCGTACTGATTGATCTGTGCTTTTGAGTGTTTGCAGCTACTCCTAAATAAATGTTGATTCTGGAAAGAGTGAAAGTTTTGTGTGACTGGGCAAAGTTAGGAATGTTCTGTAGTAATCAGGGTGTGTTGTCCAAAGGACTCCTCTGACGGGCACAAAAACTGGATGCGGAATTCACCACGTCACGTCACGCACGGCATGCTATAGATGCACACACGTGCCTGGAAACAAACTGCGGTAAACGTTAATCGGCACAGCAGCCCGAGCCCAAAGTGGTAGGTACAGCCGCGCTAGCGCCCCGTGATCGGGGATCGGGCGCACTCTACCTCATTTTGTTTACGCGTGTGCTGGACATTGCCGGCCTCCAATGAGAACTCATACAGCTTGACCTTCGATGTACTTTGGTGGTCTCATTTTGACAAAACTGAAAATTATGACAGCGTTTTATTCTTTATCTGGGCGGAAAGTTTTCGTCCCCTTCCGTGCAAAGTTGGTTCAGATTACCTCCTGTGACCTTTGTGCAAGCTCATGACCTGACCGGAAAGTTAATGTTCCATGCAAGTACATGAGATCTGCCTTGCCGAGATGTTCACATCCAAAGCTTATATTCGCTGTTCAGCACATATTTTTAAAGCTTTTGCTTCAATCTTTTGGAAATGATATTGCTTAAGCCGCACACAATGGTAATCTGATTTTCATTCACTTCAGATGGGCAAACTTGGTTATTTTCGTATAAAAAGTCAAAGGTTGATTGTTTAGCCTTGTCTATACCACTAATTATCCGCTTTCCTACTGATGAGGTTTGAAGGAGACGTTGTAAAAACGCTGAGTGGTCCATAAAACTCAAGCTGCTGCGGGAAGGTGATCGCTCAATTTGTTACACCGCAATGGGCATTATACTCGTTACCTCTCCGTCTCAACCACGTTTACGGTACAAAACCACTATCACTTACGTACACATACATATCCGTGTGTCCGGGTGTCTAGCACGAACATACGGACACACAAACACAAACGCACAGCGGCGTCGGCGTGGTCGGTGGCCGCGACAGATAGCAAATAGAAACGTACGCTCGACGACAGGCCGAAACTCGGCTTCCGTAATTGATGGAGAATCCGGCGAAAAAAGCAACACTCCAGCGTATAGCGTCACACAAAGGATGACTTGGCAAGTTGAAAACCATCCAGGCTGCACCTGAGTTCTTCTACAAAAGTGTGAGTGTGTGGACTTGGAGCGCGGTCTCAGAAACCGACAAAGTTCCGCCGGTGGACAGACCTTTGAGACAGCAGCGTCGGTGCCAGTGACACGCGCATTGGTATTGCACTGGGTGATTGTTTGTGCTCAAAGAGGAGAACTTATACTCACCATACAAGGTAAGGAATCAAATGTTCGGTACCTAGTGTAAATATTTATAATGCTTATGAACATAATTATTCCCCATTTAAGATGTCAAATCCAGCATTCCATATCCTTCATTATACTCGTATATTTTTTATCAACTCTTGCTATGCTGGTATGGACGTGAAATAAGTTATTGCTAAGTGACAAATGCAAAACTTAAAGCGTTTTAGCTAATAATATCTGCACCTTTTTTAGGTGGTTTTAAAATTGGTTAGGGTATGCTTAATTATTTAATTCGTTGGCCACTCGTAGTAAGCCACCGAATTACTAGGCAAGGAAGATTCATGATGAAGATATGTAAGAAATGCGATAGAGAAATATAATGCTTCATTTGAAGGCTTGATGGGCAGTGGAAGGCTCTGATTTACCAGTGTACCTAATATTTGGGCTACAAAGTTGATATGTCAATTCGCATTGAACAGCTCCAATATTCTCAATTATGCAACACTTTTGTTAGCAGTTTTTTGTGGACTTGTACGTACAAACAAGCTCATTTAAGAAGCGTTGATAGAAAGCGAATGTACAAATTACCTTCTAGCCCATCTAGGTTCAGAGTAATGCAGGATCTATTAGATCTTTACCACTGAGTGACTAACCAGTATAACGCCTTTTGGGGCGACTAACGGAGCGAGCGAGAGGGTGAGCCTTGCACGTGCGAAATTTCGGGGGGTACCTCCAACTGACTTGTGCACGGCACCTTACTAACCGGTCCTTGGCGATGTGCCAAATTTGAACGCAATCGGCCCAGCCGTTCTCGAGATCTGGGAGCGGCATCCTGCACGTGCGCACGTGCAAAATGGGTCCCAACTGACTTGTGCACGGCACCCTACTAACTGGTCCCTAACCGTGTACCAAATTTGAGCGCCATCGGTCCAGCCGTTCTCGAGATCTGGAAACGACCCCTGCACGTGCGCACGTGCAGCAGCACCCCAACTCTGGCACATGGATATGCAGTGCCTAGTGGGTGCCTACCTACATGCCAACTTTCAGCGCAATCGGCCAAGTAGTTACCGAGATATTGCAACAATTACAAAACTGACACCTCTTCGTTTTGCACGTGGCACGTGCATAAGGGGTCACCCACATGCATCGGGAATAGCCCAATACTTGGTAGAAGGAATGAAGCTACCCTACAAAAATTACCGCTTGTAAATCGGTCAAGTGGTTGCTGAGATATAAGCCTCGCAAAAGCCGCCGCTCATACTCAGAAATTTCCGTTGACCCGGCGGCCGCTGGGCCTCCGCGCCATCCGCCGGCCGCTGGGGGGGGGGGGCATATAGTTGCCCCCCCTTTACTTCTGCGACGATATCGTCGCAACGCGAAGAGATAGAGAAGCGAAATTTTGCACACATCTTCCTGAATACCTAGCCGAGGTTGTGTCAAAATTTGGTGTCGATCCCATTTGAAATGACGTCACAGTGACGTCATAAGTGAAATTATAGATTTGCGACTCTCATATTCCTCACGATACATCAGATATATGGGACCGAATATAAAGGGTCGATTATTGGTCAGAAACTAGATGGAAGTGTAGTTAAATGTTTTAGGATGACAGCAGGTGCTGTCTAGTTCATTTACAGTTGAGTTTCATGCTCAGCGTCATCAGAAACGGTCCATATCGGAAAACGACAAAACTTTATGACGTCACTGTGACGTCATCTTAGGTACTACAGCCACCAAACTTTCCTCAAACATTGCCTAGGTATTCATTTGAAGCTATGCCAAGTTTCACATTCGTAGCTCATCAGGTTTCGGAGATATTTCACAAAACGTAAAGGGGGGGCAACTTTATGCCCCCCCCCCCAGCGGCTCGTGGGTTAATCTAAGGAAAGACTCCGCTCGCTTCGCTCGCTCCGTAATAATTTTTCTTTATTTGGACACCATAGATAAGCATTATTTACGTTTCTTATTTCACATCGAGATATTGTGAAAGACTAATGGGTTCACAGTTCACATTGATGCTCGCGACTGTGTGTTATCCATGACAGATATAAACGACAATATATTCCAATACACAATTAAGAAAACAAGTGTTTTTGTTAATTGTGTATTTGAATATATTGTCGTTTTTTAAATATGATGCTCGCGACCATAGTGATGCGCGCTCATTGAGTGTCGCCGTGTGTGTTCTCAGATGCAGCGGATGACTCGCCTGGCGGTATGTGCCGTGCTGGTGTGCGGCGTCTCCTCTCAGTACGTCTCCTCCTTCTCCAACTACTATCGACCGAGCGGGCCGGGCTACCCGAGCGGCACTGCAGACTACTATCGGCCGCCGGTCTCCTCCCCGGGCATCACAGACAGGTGAGACATCATAGACAGGGGAGACATCTCATCCCAGGCCTCCCTGGGCATCACATACAGGTGAGACATCATAGGCAGAGGGGACATCTCATCCCGGGCTTCCCGGGGCATCACATACAAGTGAGACATCATAGACAGAGGGGACATCTCATCCCAGGTTTCCCCGGGCATCACAGACAGGTGAGACATCATAGACAGAGGGGACATCTCATCCCAAGCCTCCCTGGGCATCATAGACATCTGGGGCATCTCGAAGAGGTCAGAAATCACATCCCAGGCCTCCCGGGGCATCACAGCTACAGGTGGGAAACCGGCGGCAACAGGACACGGCAGGGGTGTCAGCGAGTCACAGGAGGCGTGTACTTCCAGCGGGTCATGACAGAGGTAGTGTGTCATGGCAGGGGTAGCCAGCGGGTCAGGGGAGGGCTGGGATACTGCAAAGGTAGCCACCGGGTCACGGAAGGGATAGCCAACAGGACACGGCAGGGGTATCAAACGGCTGACGCTTGGGGGTGACCACCGGTGCACATCACTCGACATGGAATTGGATAGCCCAGCCAGAGTTAGACAGCAGGGAACAGACGTCAGTCGGCAACACAACAGGGCACGATCACAGCTGCATCACGCTTCGAAATGCCGCGTGCATGTGTATTTACCTATGTGCCGGTCAGAAAATCCATAAAAAATATTTAGCCTTGAAGAATGGCCCTGATCAGCGAAGTTTTTCGACATTCAAACCATAGACCACTACATATCTATCACTATATATCTATACATACAGTGGTCTATGTTCAAACATAAACATTTACTGTTCTTTCTAAAGCTTCTGCACCTATTTTTGGTGTATCATGATATTTAGTGCAAATTGGCCACGAATTGACCTTCATTCAGAAACATTCGCCATGTCTGTGTCATGTCAAGCAAACAATGAACGCAAGCCTATCGCTTTACTATTCGGTATTAAGATGTTTAGGTGGAAAGACATCCAATTAAGCTGAGACGTTTGCCTACAAACTCAATAAACTAGAGCGGGTGAACGGTTCTCTCGGCGGTCTGCCACCATAAAATGCTAACAAATGGCCGTCAATTAGTCTCGGATGAGTAGTTTCAAGTTAATGTGCTCAGTTAACGTGCTCGGTAGCCGAGGATACATTCCATTAAAGGGACTATCCCACCTTCTAAAATGTTGTTAAAACCAGTTAAATTGTGCCCGACTTTATAGATTGGATGACCAGGAACACGGTTCTGGCATTTATTTTTCATTAAACATCTTAGGCTTCCCATATTCCAAACACAAACTTTCAAATATGTGACGTCACAGCCCAAAATTACCTCCTTCCCCAGGCCACATTACTGTCATAAAGCTGATTCTTTTTACTCTGTAGGCACCACAACAAAGTTCAGACCAAGTTTTAAGCGATTTTTCAACGAACAAACCCATTTAAATCAGAATGACTAAACGAGGTGACGTCACACTAACGGTCGCTCCATGTTGAAGATAGGGCCTTGCGCAAGGCCCATTTTCAAATGAAGGGAACGAATTTCTTCAACACCAAGAGGCCGCGGGGGTTGCAACCTAGATAGATAGTGGTTTCTGAACCTCGCCGCAAACTTGGCTATCTCAACTCAAACCCCATGTTAAAGGTGGGATAGTCCCTTTAATAAAGCCATAAGACCGCCTTGCTGAACATTTACGCGGTACTCAGTGTTGTTGAATTACATAGATGTTTGTGTGAACATATGCTTTGTATGTGTTTGTGTAGGGCTTGAAAACATGAATTAATTTTCTTGGTCTGACACTCACATGGAGTCAGCCCGCACTGGGCCGGTGCTCGGCACCACCCGCAATGGGACGAGGAGGGGGGGGGGGGGGGGTGGAGTGAACACTCGCACGTAACCTCACACGATGGGCTGGGTGGCATTAAAAAAGCAAAAAATGCCTTAATTAAGTATACGGTTAATTTTTAGATCAGTTCAAAGGTCAGCACACCAGAAGTCAGCAACTGACATCTTTAGCTTAATTTGGTACTTTTTGATAAGTCAGCGAATAGCCTATAACCTGCGCCGTGCTTGTGGTCTGAGTTTTCCGTGTCGTGCTGGAGGGGGGGGGGGGCGTTTTCACGCCTCCCCCGTCTAACTCGGCTCCTGGGCCACGTAGTGACACCACGCGGTAATCGGCATTCAAAAGAGCGTAAAAAATAATGACGGAAATACCTGGGTTATTTTTATGAAAGGTCAAAGGTCAGGTGACCAGAGATCATCAAAGGTCAAATATCGTCTATTTCAACAATTTTCGAAACACCCGACGCATAACTCAGGAACCCATAGGGTTATAGCACCACAGAAAAGCGCATTCGATAGCACTTTTACAAGCCTCTCTGAGTAATGTTCTCAGGTTTGACCTCAGGTCAATGGTTCAGCCTCCACAGGGCAGAAACTCCAAAAATAGCTGTTTTACGAAAATTGTTTTTTTCATTCATAACTTTTGACTCAAGAGCACCACGACAATAGCCGTTTTCACGACGGCCATCTGGTACACATCTGGTGCACATTTGGTGCAGATTGGGTGCAGATTTGGTCAAATTAGGTTCAGTGTGTCTCTTAGTAGCTATCAGCTAGGGTTGCACTGATTGCTTATGTGCCTGCTTTGTCATATTATCAGAAAGTATCATCGATTAAAACACTGAAATAAATGCATAAAATAAAGATATTTGCTGTAAAAGAGATGAGGTGCAGATTTGGTCAAATTAGGTGCACTCGCCGGATAGTCCGTCGTGAAAACGGCTATTTTTTTTGCCAGCACGGTGTTCTCCTCGTCGAGACGCGTTGAATGAACTATAAGTTGAACTTGAAAGGTCATCTTGAAACTTTGACCTCAGGTCAAGGTAATGACCTGACCGGAAAGGGTCATGCTGCATTTCAGTCGATCCGTATTGTCGAGCTGAACACATCTGACATTTTTTACCGCTCTAGCACGTCTCTATCAAAAGTTGTAATTAAAAACTACTGGTGACCTTTCATGACCTGAGATGGCCTCAGGGGCACAAAGAGGGGTCACGGGTGCAATGTTCCTATTCATTGTGCTATGTTTACCTAAAATCCGATGTTTGAGAGTGTTAAAAAACACCATTCGGCCAAAAGAAGCGCATTTCATTTTTCTCCCATTGACTTATGATGGAAAAGTCGTGAATGACCTAAATTTTGGTCACTGATATCAAAATTTTAAGATATACATTTTAAACATACTTTTGTTTTTATCAATCCCTTAATCAAAGCGGTCGTTCAACCGGTGTAGCTATGACGAACATTGACACTTTTAGCAAGGTCATTTGACATGACCTAGTGACTTGACATTGAGCGACCTGGATCAGACATTCTAAAAACATGACAAAAAAGGTGTGCCATTTTTTTAGATAATGCGTATGGGAGTGCTGAAACACTCCTCCCTCCACCACCCTGCACCCCGGCTAGGCGCGGATCGATGGCAGCTCTCTTATTTTCTTATGAAGAATTCATTCAAAAGATGTATGTTCAATGAAATGGTACAAGACAGGTTAAAAGTACCGAATGTGAGAAAATAGTTCAAGGCAGCAGTATCAACAAAAAGCGAAGTATAGTTTAATTACGCATATGCCTTTTTCAGGTTGCAGAACATTTTTCAAGGATTCAGTGACAGAACAGACCCCGCATTCTTCTGTAAGTCTTGAATGCCGACGCCGTTCTAAATAAGAATGAGAAACTATTGTAAAATTGCAAAGAATATATGTCACTTTACTTCATTTGATAGTAATAAATTTCGCGTGCCTATGGAATATCATGCATATAAGCATGCGATAGCTGAAATATAAGCTGGTGGTTGAAATGTGACGTGAAGTTGTTAAGAATGCATCTGTACTTAATTATGTCGACGTTTATTGATGATAGTAGTCAACCTCGAAGAGTAGACTTATTGGCGCGTATGTGTAACCCGTTTCGGCTGTGTCCCGTCCCGGCAGCGGCGGCGCCGTTCCTGCTGCTCTCTTTGCTGGCCCTGGTCGGTCTGGCCGTCACCGGGGTCGCCTACGCCGTCATCACCAACAACTCCTCCGGCCGCGGCCTGGACTCGGACCACTGGGAGGTGGACCACTCAGTCTGGATGGACCAACTCCAGAGGGACTTTGAGGACTCGTGGTCCACCGAGTAGCGGGTGCATCACTGAGCATGGTGCTCCGAGTGATTTATTTAATTGTTGTGTACCTCACAGCTGTAAAACTGTAATTGTTGAATATTGTTGATGTTGTTTTTGTTTTTGTTTTGTGTCGTTAATAACTGTTCAGTCCCACTGTGCGGTCATTGCTACTGAGGCGGCAGGCACTGTTACTGAGGATATGCGGTTGACAGTGAACAGAAATATTTTTTGTTCACGCTATGTCACCAATGAATGTTATGCAGGATGACATCACGGCCGCAGGGAACTGCTCTATTGGCTACATCTGGGTTTGATTGTTTAAATCCAATGGTTGTAATACATGTATGAATGCGAGCCATCTTGCTCACAATTGCTTCTGCCTTTTCGACAGTTAATTGCGATGCGCAGAGGTGCAGACTGCACATAGGAATTTAGTGCACTTTGATACCAAGTGGTGAAATATCAATCGGTAAATATTATCCAGAAAATATTTGATCTATAGTATGCCTTTGTTGCATAGCTGGGTGTTCTAAAAAAGTGCAATTAGTAGCATCCTAACCATTAGCTTGCTTTGAATTGAAATCTGCTTTGTTTAATTACGCCGCACAAACGGACGATAGGCGTTCAGTTGCCCTCCATTGGCGACCTACAAGAAGCGAGATCGACTATAACACAAGAGTCAGTACCGTGAGAACACATAACCGACCGTCTCACGGTCAGACCACAAAACTATGTTAGGACTAAGCTTCATCTATTAAAAGCCAATAAGCTGAAATGATAAACATGGTCATTCCACTCTTACAAAGTTTTGTGGATGCCAAAGCGGGGTCTGTTCTAGGATATTAGGAAGTGTGACGGTGTGACGTTTATGGCGCGTGATGAGAGAGGGAGAGAGAGAGAGAGAGAGAGAGAGAGAGAGAGAGAGAGAGAGAGAGAGAGAGAGAGAGAGAGAGAGAGAGAGAGATAGCGACAGAGACAGAGAAAGAAACAGGAACAAACAGAGATAGTTAGAAAGAGACATGTACAATTGTACAGAGACAGAAAGATACAGAGACAGACAGAAGGAGACAAAGACAGAGACAGATGTAGACAGAGACATAGACAAAGACAGAGATAGACAGAGGCAGAGTATGTGCCAGTGTGTGAAGTTTATTTTTGCCCCTGGGGATATGACCACACCTTTTGCCAGGCGCTGTGTTCTAGTAAAAATTTCGAAAATAACTTTTCACTAGCTTTTCTGCGCAACTTTAGCCTATCGTTAGTAGGTCTGTGACCCATGAGCTGTTGATTATAATGTGTCCACTGTCCACGTCGGTGTGATTCAACAGTAAAATAAGGCTGAAATAAGGCTGAAATGACTTTAGATCTCATTCAACCACCGGTTGAACGTTGAAACATAGGTCTTCTATAAAGAACATTTACTCTCTTGGTGGAATTTGAGAAACTACCGACTTTTGCCAACAGTGGCTCAGGTTTTGAGCTGAATGGGCGGGACAAAAACTTCAAACATCTGTCGACACATGGCGGTGGCCGCAGACCAGAGACCACCGACAAGGAAAGAGTCAAACTAATATACATAAACCCATACAGACGGTATGTAAATACAGACACAAAATTAGGCTCCCGGAGCTCATCTGTATAATGTTCACTAGGACAGCTATGGGCAGGGCTCTCCACACATACCTGGCCGTTTTTTTGTGGTCGTAGGTGACCGCATTCGACATCTGTGGAGGTTGTTTCTGCTGAGACCCGTGCGGTATCCGTGTAACACGCCGCACGCGGTCCTAAACTTTGAGCCAACAGCAGGGCGATGAACGACCTACACTCAGACAATCGATTAGAGCCGAGTTCACCTGAAGTCTGCTCAGACACATTATTCATCACCATTAGAAAGTGATGGTGTCACAGCACATTACGTTCCGCGCAGAGGAGACTTTTTTCGGGATAACTATGGACTGCTGAAGCACTGAAGGCTGTCTTAACCCGCGCCCCAGTGGCGGTCTCAGCCAACTTCGCCCTAGTGGGGGGGGGGGGGCATATGTTACCACCCACCTCTAACTCAAAAACTAAGAGGGCTAGAAAGACGCGGTAAAAAGCAGTCGATAGCTCTCAATGCGTACGTTTGAAAGTATTTCAGTCATTTTTCATCTTAGAGCAATATTGGGGTCACCAGGGGTCATCAAAGGTCAAAATTTGCAAATGGTCATTATATTTTTCAGAAAACATGCCGTTATCTCAGGAACTATGGTAGCTGGAAAAACGCATGGAAACGCAATCGATAGTTCTTAAACTCTTCTTTTGAAAAGATCATTATCAAAATTGACCTCAGGTCACGGGTTTAGCCTCCAGAGGGCAAAAACTCCAAAAATAGCTGTTTTTACGAAAAGTGTTTTTCGACAATAACTTTCGAAAACAAAAAGCCACGACATTTTTATTGCCAGAATCGTGTTTCTCTCGCCGAGACGCGTCGAATGAACTATAATTTGACCTTGAAAGGTCAACTTGAAATTTGACCTCAGGTCAAGGTCATGACCTGACCGGAAAAGGTCATGTTGCATATCAGTCGATGCGTCTCGGCAAGACAAACACAATGAGACCATCCCCAGAGTTCTATCTCTTTCCAATCGCAAGTTATTGGCAAAAATCTGTTTGTAGCCTCAATGACCTCGGATGACCTTTCTAGAGGCTATCAGCAAAAATGACACCTTGGTCATCACGGGTGGTCCAAATCATTGTGATTCTGAAATATTTGGACTGTTGCTATGCGTACACACGGATCTAGAGGCATTCTCATTTTTCTCCATTGACTTGTAATGGAAAGGTCACGCCACTGACCTGACCTTAGGTCACGGATATAAAAAATCCGAGATATGCAAATTGTAGGCGCCCATAACATCATGCAATCCACCAAGTTTAAAACCTTTCTGACAAACACTGCAGGCTGGACATGATTGCAAACTTTTTTTTAGGCTTGGTCAGTTAACTTGACCTGGTGACCTGACCTGACATGACCTGGGGTCAAAAATTTCACACATTGTCCAAAATTGATGTACCAAAAGCTACTCCAAGCGGCGCGGCGCTACGCGCCGCGGTTTTTTATTTACACGCAAAAAACGCGACAGGGTGGTAACATATGCCCCCCCCCACTGGGGCGAAGGTTAACCCGCGCCCCGTAGGGCTACCGGCGGACCCTACCACCCGTAGAGGGGGGGGGGGCGTTTCGGCCCCCCCTAAGATCTCGGAAATTTACCGGCCGATTCTCAAAATTCAAACGGGATTCGATAGCCCCACCCGGGAACTACCTTGTGACCAAATTTCATTGACCTAGGTCAAACCGATGACGTCAGAGGTCAGGTCGAAGGTCGGATTTTCACCGTTCACAGGCATTTCAGGAAATGTGTTGTGAAATCGAATAAATTGGTAAGTTATTGAAAACCATCGATAGTACATTGTTCGTCAAACACATACTTCGCTATCTGAGGTCACTGATACCAGGTCAGATCACAGCGAGGTCAGGTCACCGGGGGTCACAATATGAAAGTGTCGTGTGATACATGTTTTATGGTCCATTTTACATGACAAATGCGATTATGTGGGTCAGGCAGCCTTTTGGGCCAGCTTAGGTCACGTTTAGGTGAAGGTCAGGTCAAGGTCAGGTCATATTAGGTCAAATTTCAAAATTGATATTTTGGCATAAATTGGATATCGATTCGATGCAGCTCGTCACGGGAAGTCCAGTGGTGGTTTTTGTTTTGCCCTACGTGGTCTAGAATTGCCAAAAAAAGAGTTTGAAAATTTGACGTCATCATTTTTGAGCAGTTTTTTTTCGCTATAACTTGGCCAAAAAAACGAGATATCGATCTGAACTTTGGTATGTAGATAAAAGACGGTAGGTAGTATCACATATATTCCGTTTTTTTCGAAACTCGAAAAACTTTTTGGATTTTTTGGCTTATGTATTCAAAAATCGCATTTTTGATTTTTGGGGGTCAAAACTCAAAAGTTTCAAAAATCCGAGATAGCAGTTTTGTAGCCCTGTCAATTCTAAAACTTTTATGTCCAATCATTTTTCTGTATCTTCAAAGCTGTAGGCCTGACAGCTCTTATCGCGAAGGTCTTTTTTCGGTCGAAAATGGCAGAACATGACGTCATTCTGACGTCATTTGCAGCCAACCTATCATAGCCTCTGGAAACATTGTTGGTCACAATGTGTAAAATTGATGCCCGGAGGGGTCCTGAAAGTTTGGTGGCGATATCTATCTCCAGTCGTTTAGGAGATATCGACGGAAAAGGACAGGGGGGCCGTTACGCCCCCCCCCCTACGGGGCGCGGGTCAAAACCTACTGCAACCGGCATTGCTTATTGCTTTGGTAAATTATGTCATGCATGTATTCTCTCTCTCTCTCTCTCTCTCTCTCTCTCTCTCTCTCTCTCTCTCTCTCTCTCTCTCTCTCTCTCTCTCTCTCTTCTCTCTCTCTCTCCCTCTCTCTCTCTCTCTCTCTCTCCTCTCTCTCTCTCTCACCCTCACTCTCACTCTCTCTCTCTCTCTCTCTCTCTCTCTCTCTCTCTCTCTCTCTCTATCTATCTTTCTATTATGTATATCTCTATCTCTATCTCAATCATGCTTCATCTCCTCATTTTCCATGGTCCTCTCATTCCTGCATATCCCTGTTCCACACCATTTACCTACTAAGGCCCAGATAATGCGATAGGATTCTCACACCTTCCGGTCTGCCGGACCGACCCCGTTACTCGGGGCTGTGCCGCTGTCAGTTCCCAGGATAACCGATCTGTCCGGCCGGGAGGTCAGGGAACGGCGGGGCCATCTGCTCCTCCCGTACCCGGCGGCTCCCTCCCGCCGCGGGGAGGGTAGGGGAAGGAGGAGACCCGGCGACCCAGTCTCCCATCGGCATGGCATACCGGGCGCCGCCGGCAGATTATTATCCCACGCCGTCGTCAACAGGGCGGCTCGGTACGCACAACAACAGCCCCGGGCAGGGCCGGAGTGCGTACCGGCCCTTTGGCTCCGACCCATAGCCCGCGGCCAGCGTGACGTCATC